TCCGGTGTTTCGTTTAACCGTTTGGCGTTTTATACGATTTACTCAAAGTTTTACGAGAAAACAAGTCTTTAGCGGTTTTTTATGAAATGTCTCGAGTTAATCGTATAGCTTGGGAATATCTAATATTTCGTTAACCATTGCCGTTTTATACGATTTACTCAAAATTTTATGGAAAACAAACCTTTTACGGTTTTTATCGTAAAACTCCAACGATAAGACGGATCGAGACGAAACGAGAGATGTTTCGATCACGGTTCAGAGTACAATCAAGTCAAGGGACACAGAGGGTTAAGTTCAGATCGCCTGTTGGCAAGATGGACAGATGTGCTCAGCTCGCCAACAAGCTAGCTGGTCAGGTAAGGCAAGCTCGCCTGTTGGCGAGTTGGACAGATGTGTTCAGGTTAGTTCTCTGTCTTCTGAAGTAATGTTATTTTGTCCGAGTCTTGAAACCACCTAACATGCTTGGTTTCTGTATCTACGTGTTCTGTAGTAATTTTATTTTTACCTGACTCTTAAACCACCTAATCTGTTTGCCTTCTGGATCTAGTTGCTTTTGACCAGGTTGTGGTTGTTTCTAAGCCCTGGATATCCATATGAAGACATCTTGAGCACCTTTAATAATCAAACAGGAGTAGTCATGTGCTCATACTTACCTTACTACAAAAAGTTTAAAAGAACCAAGGGTGAGTTGAGAGTACTTCACTGTCAACATTTCTTACTTTTTGTGGACATGTTGTGAAGAGCTATAACTTTGATCTCACCTATACAGGAGGTTTGATCATGTTGAACCATGGAGATCCACAGCCTCTTCAATACGCTGCAAATGCGGCTTTCTTAGCTGCGCTATTTAGGGATTATCTAGATGCTGCTGACACTCCTGAATGGTACTGTGGTCCTAAATTCTATTCTACTGAAGTCCTACGTGACTTTGCTAAATCACATGTATACAATATGCTTCCTCTATAGCATAAATGAAGCAACTAAATGACCTTATCTGATCAAACTCTTGCTGTTTTTTCAATCTTGGCAGGTTGATTACATATTCGGTAACAATCATAGGAAGACGGGTTATGTTGTAGGTCTTGGTCAACATTGTGGGAACCGAAATTCACACTTGTCGATTTCCGTTAAATAAGGAAACTTAGGAAAACCCTAATTTTCCAGAGGAACCGGATCTCTGCTAAAGCCAACGACAAGTAACCAAATAAATGCGGAAAAAATATGAAAAACATAATAAAACGAATTTATAAAGAAAGTCGATCTTATTTCCGATTCGCGTAAGAGCGTTGCGATCATTACAAGGAATTACAAAGGCTTTGGCCGCAGGGGCCATCAGCGAGTTACAAACGTAAAACCCTAGATCTAGTCGAGTCGCAGCTTGATAACGAAAAACGGAAAAAGATAGGAAAAAAGGTTTGAATGATTTCGGACTGAACCTTATGAAAGGCTGCCTACGTACCCCTTTCGGGGATCAAGTCGAACGTAGTTCAGTTGATAGAGCTGGACAAGAGATCGAACTGCCTGGGCGAGTTCGTCTAGTAATTGAGC